TATTGCAAGAAAATTATTTCTAGTTGTTAAGATTTCCAAAGGCTCTCTGCTCCCAAAAAAAGAATTTCCTTATCAATGGAAGAGGTCAAACATGAGCTTGATAAACATTGGCAAGAGAGTCAAGTTTTGAAAAAATAATTGAAAACAAAAAGAGCAAGGGTTGAAGTCATTTCTGAATTGTGACTTGGTGATATCCAACATCTCTTCCATGGGACTACACCTTGTGTACCTTGTGGTACACCTCAAGGACATGTGTATAACATGATGGGAGGTACAACTTAACTACTCCTAAATGTTATACCTTGAAAATTGAGAAACATGCAGAGGTTAAACATTGTCACTGACTTGTGCCTACCCCCTTTCTTTGAAACATCATTATGTGACATGTGTCCTGAGCTTCACCTAGCGTGAAGGAATGTGGCAGAGAGGCCTAAGAAAATCTCACCAAACAGGCCTTGTTAAGCTTCTCTGTTAAATGCCATTAGATTATCCTCATATTTTGTTCAATTATACTCATCATGACTGTTCATTCTTCAACAAATCTCCACATATAAATATAATTTTCTCTGGACCTTTGGGTCTTCATTTTGGAAGCCCTAATATCATGTAAATTTCTTCTGCCTTCCTTTGTTAATCCAATTTTCACTACAGGTGTGTTAGCTACGAGCATTGCAATGCATAAAGCAGAGATAACACTTTTTCTGCCATCAAAGCACAAATGGGAAATACACTGGAACTTGGCTTCCTAATTTGCCTACAGGAGTCACTTCATTTATTCGGATAACATTTTACTCAAAGTCTAGGTGGTGACATCAGTAATAACTTTTTCACCTACCCCCTGGGTTTGTTGTGAGGATAAAAACTTTTAACAAATGTTAAAAATTAATAATATCAAAAGAGAACATGTTGACATTATTTAAAATATTTCAGTAGTTTTCTCCCCTATCCCCCACAGGGACATAAGTTCTGTTAAATCAACTGTATAGACCACCTCCTGCATGTGCAGGATTAATAATAGTTTGGAAGCCAACACATCACCATCTGTTTAGCCTTATGTATTCCTGGCTATGTTTGGCTGCAGTTGATACTTGCTTAGAAAAATATTTGATGGTATACAAAATTAATAGCTTTATCTTTTTAATTATGTGTTTGCATGTTTCTCAGTATTATCAGAACATAGAATCTCTGATTTAACTCCCATTACAACTATTTTATCCACAAACAGGTAATATTCTCCATCTCCAGCTACACTGAGCTAAAATTTTTCTATTAATATGCTATATCAATCAGTTATTATTATAATGGCACTGTATGACAAATCACACCAAACTCAGTGTCTTGAAGCCCCTACTATTCATGATTTTCCTAATTTACAAGTCTGTGTGATTCCTGAAGCAGAGCTGTATCAGACATGGGTGAATGGGGTTTTGCTGCTTTATTTACGTCTGCTCCATAGGGACCAGAGATTACCTTCTGTTCCCAATCTCTCTGTCTCTCTCTCTTTTCTTTCTCTTTCTTTCTCTCTCTCTCTCTCTCTTTCTCTCTCGGTGTGTGTCTGTCTCTCTCCCTCTCTCCCTTTTTTTCTCTGTAGCTGTGACTTTTAAATAAACAAGTAAATCTTAGAAAATTACTATTTTAAGTACAAAGGAAAATAATATGATGAAGTCTGTTATATCTACAAACAAGGTTTTCAACTTTTAATACTTCTTCGCATTTAATCAGATTTTTTATAGAAAATAAATGATTACATGTATAATATGTACTTTATGTCTTTCCCCTTTCCCATATCCTCCCCTTTTTCCCCCAAGATGTAACCATTCGTTTAACCTATAGGAATGTATCACATTCTAAGCCAAAACATAAAATTCTGTTTCCACCAAATAATCAGTCTTCTAGAAATCACATTCTTGGCAATTGGATTAGTAATCAATTTAAAGAAAAACACTCTGTATATGTGAAAAGAATGCCAGTGTCAAGTATACAGCAAATCCTACATCTACTAGCTCTGGAATTTTTCTAACAGGTAATTGCTACCTAGGTACAGGAAATTGCAAAGCTCCTATATCAGGCTCTCAAGAGCAAGTCAGAAAAAGGCCTCCTCCTTTGTGGGGGGAGGGGGAGAGCAGATCTTTGCCCAGTTAAAATCTGCCTTGACCAAGGACCCCTCGTGAGGGTGGTCAAGCCCAGTCCTTCAAAAAAATCAGGCCTTTAGACATGTTGTTGACCAAGGATGTATTTGTGGCACACTTTAAGAATGCTATTTTGGGGTCACTCAAATTGAACACTCAAACATGAACAAAATCATATTCAACATTTCTTGGATGAAGCTAGACATCTACAGAACCAGGCAAAGCAGGGTTGGAATTTTTGGCCAAGCATTGGGTGATGGAAATCCTTGTTGTTATTTCTCCTTGACCCTATAGATTCCATACACTTACTGATTTGTTTTATACCATGTGTCATGAATACACTAGTTTTCTCTTTAACAGAATAAAAGCCATCCAGTTCCAGATGGCTGTAAGTCAGGGCTTCCAGCCTTTCCCATCGAATGACTTGACCAAGTCTTAAGACAGTGCAGGGGCCGGCGCCGCAGCTCACTAGGCTAATCCTCCGCCTTGCAGCACCAGCACACTGGGTTCTAGTCCTGGTCGGGGTGCCGGATTCTGTCCCTGTTGCCCCTCTTCCAGGCCAGCTCTCTGCTGTGGCCAGGGAGTGCAGTGGAGGATGGCCCAAGTGCTAGGGCTCTGCACCCCATGGGAGACCAGGATATGTACCTGGCTCCTGCCATCGGATCGGCCAGGTGCACCGGCTGCAGTGTGCCGGCCGCGGCGGCCATTGGAGGGTGAACCAACGGAAGAGGAAGACCTTTTTCTCTGTCTCTCTCTCACTGTCCACTCTGCTTGTTAAAAAAAAAAAAAAAAAAAGACAGTGCAGGATGACATTTTCCCAGGCTACTCTCAAACAGCAATAGGACAGACAGCAAGAGAAGAATGCACACAACCAGCTCTCTGGTTACATGCCTGCTTTAAGAAAATACAGAAGACAGGCCTTCACCCATTCTACCTCCATAAGATTATGGGTTACTTCTCTTGAGGGGAAATGTTAAAGTAGCTAGCCTCTGTGTGTAACAGGAACTGGAGAAAAGTCGGTGGCAAGGACTCACGCATTTAGCTGGAAGCTGGGATCAGAAGTGAAGGTGGAACTGGAACCCAAGCACTCTGAGATATGGGTCTCCCAACCAGCATCTTAATCACTAATTCAAATGCTTGTTCTGGTACTTTTTCATCTACTGCTTACTGATAGAGGCGTATCAAAACTACCCATAATTTATTATTTTTGATTTATAATTTTTCCTTATGATATTTTCTATTTGACTTGAATTTTACAGATTAGAAATTTAAAACATTTTCATGATTTTTTCAGTATTAGCTAGCACTTTTATTCCTTAATAAAGTTTTTGCATTAAATCTATTTTTGTTGATATTAATACAGCTATACCAACTTTAGATTTGTTTACTTTTTGCATATATTTTGTTTATTCTTTAATCCACTACTGTACTATACTATTAAATTGCCTCTTTTAAACCAAATGCATATTAGTTTTATTTCATATTAAATGTCACAACTGATTATTCTTGTATGGGAGATAAATCCATTTCATTCACTATGATATCTGATATATGAGAGTACTTTAAAAACATGGAAAATGTAATTAAAAATAGAATATTTAGGCCGGTGCCATGATGCAATAGGCTAATCCTCCGCCTGCGGCGCCGGCACACCGTGTTCTAGTCCCTGTCAGGGCACCAGATTCTGTCCCGGTTGCCCCTCTTCCGGGCCAGCTCTCTGCTGTGGCCTGGGAGTACAGTGGAGGATGGTCCAAGTACTTGGGTCCTGCACCCTCATGGGAGACCAGGATAAGCACCTGGCTCCTGCCTTTGAATCGACGCGGTACACCGGCCTTGGCAGCCATTGGAGGGTGAACCAAAGGCAAAAGGAACACCTTTCTCTCTGTCTTTGTCTCTCACTGTCCACTCTGCCTGGCAAAAATAAATAAATAAATAAATAAATATAAATATAAATAAAAAATAGAATATTTTGGCAAAAATTTTTAAAATCCATGCAGCTTTTTCAAAATATGCAATTTATACTCCACTTATTTATATTTAAATATATAAATTTCTTTGCTTTTTGTTTCTTTTCTTCTTTATTTTCTGTCTTATATTGTAGATATTTTTGTTTATTTTTCCTTAGCTTGTTTTTAAGTTATATAGCACATATCTAGCATTTAATATATGCTTATGATGTAACATGAAAGCTTTAAAAGTATGATGTTAAAAAATTCCCCTTTTACAAAATATAAGAACTTTGTGATGTTTTTTAACTTATACCTTTCTTCACATTTTACCTGTAATTGTTATGTAGTATTTCATTCCAAATTTTTATATCAAATTTTATTATTTCTACTTTTCTTATTCCTCTTTTTATTCTTTTTCCTCTTCTCCTCATTGTCTCCTCTAAAGAACTGCAAACTAATTCATTAGTTCAGGCTAAATCTGCTTTGCTACTCATCCCATTGAACTGTCTCCCAAGTCTTGTTTTCATGAACTTATTTGCTAAGAAATATCCCTTTCTATTTTCACCTAAAATTCTCCAATAAAAATCATTGTCAAATTAGCATGTAGGATCAAGTTTTATGCACATCTGGAGAAAGATGATAAACTGTTTTATTAGTTTTATAGTTTCGTTGATAACATCCCACAGCATGTAAGCTTTTTTATATTTAGAAAATTGGAGGAATTTTGAAATGTTCTTGTTGGCCATGAGTTATGAGGCAGATTTTCATGCCAATCCTTTTCATATTTATTTTCTAATCAATGCTAAAAATTTGTTCTTCTGTTTGAACAAACTCACCCTCTATTCTATGGCAAAGGAATTTAATTTGAAGTTAAAGAGTAAATTAGTTTCAGAGACTGGAGAGTTTTAAGAATATTGCCTACCTGTCCAGCGGTGTCCAAGATGTCCAAGTAAGCTGGTTCATTGTCAATCCTGACCTGGGTCTTATAAGCATCTTCTGAAAAACAGAAGACAAGTTTTACATTTAAATATATTCAATGGCAAGGTGTCATTGCTTTAGATATTATAACAGATAAGGATTTTTAAATTCTACTAAGTAAAGTAGTCAAATGTGTTATTCAGGTAAATTACTTTGAGAAAGATACTACTCAAGGAAGTATAGGAAGAGTTACTGATTAAGCAGTTAGGTAAATTTCTCTTTTATTGGCAGAATTTCATGATCTGAGGTGTCCTAGAGAATGATGCATTAAAAAAATTAGTTCTCATGCACTACACAATGGCATCTCAGCATCACAATGGTAAAAGACTGACAGTTTTTCCTAAAAGGACATAAACAAGACATTTTTACCATTTTGGTCTAAACACACTGCTGGAAGTCCTGGCAACGGCAACTGGGAATATAAATAAATAAATAGATAGATAGATAGATACTAAATGAATTTAGATAAAATACTAGGATATAAATTCATTAAACAAAAATTTGTTGTTTTACACACTAAAATTAATGAAGGAAATTGAGAAATAAATTCCACTTATAACAGTCATAAATAGAAAAAATAATTAGGGACAAATTGACTCAAGGATGGAAAGAAAAAGCTATAAAATATTAATGAGAGAATTTAAAGAAGACATAAATAAATGTAAATACAATCTGTGTTCATGGATTGGAAGAATTAATATTGTTAACATGCTAAAACCATCCAAAACAATCTACAGATTTAATATAGTCCCCATCAAAATCTCAACAATTTTTGCAGTAATTGAATAATGCAAAATTCAAGTGAATATTAAAGGATGCAAATAGCCAAAACAATTTTGTAAAAGAACAAAGTTTGAGTTCTTACATTTTCTAGCTTCAAAACATATTAAAAACTCTGATAATCAAAATAGTGTTATACTTACACAAAAAGGGACATGTAGAAAAATTGAATAGAATAGAAAAAAAAGGAGAGTCTTTTCAATAAATGATGTTGGGAAAACTGGATATTCACACACAACAAAGTAAATTGGAATCTCATTGTATTCCACATATAAAAATTAAGACAAAGTGGATCAAACATCTAGATGTCATAGTTAAATTCACAAAGCTTTCAGAGGAATGTAGAGGGAAAATCTTTAAAATATTGAGTTTCACAATGATCTCTTGGATATGACACAAAAACATAAGCCAAAAAAGGTTAAAATAATAGATAAGTTGGCCTATATCAAAATAAAAATTTATTGGCGACCAAGTAATACATCCAACATAATGAAGACACAATTCAAAAAGTTGGACAATATTTGCAAATTATATATCTGGTGAGGGGTTACTATTCAGAATATATGAAGAACTTTTTCAATTTGTCATCATCATCATCAACAATAATAAAAGAACCCAAGTAAGAATTACAAGCAAAGTACATTCCTGATAAGCACATGAAAAGATTCTCAGCATCATTAATGGTTGGGGAAAGCAAATTTAAATCAAAATAAGATTCTACTTTGCTTCCATTAACATAGTTAATACTAAACAGGAAATAACAAGTGATTGTGGGAATGTAGAGAAATCTTAACCCTATACACTCTCTGGGATACTAAGTAGAACAACCTCCACCAAGGTTACTATGGAGATTCTTGAAAAATACTTAAAAATAAATTTGCATAGGATCTATCAATTTCACATTCAGACATATATCCAAAAATATTGAAAGCAGGATTTTAAACAGATAGTTGCACATCTATGTTCATAGAATCATTACTCATGATAGCCAAATGTAGAAGCAACTAAAATGTTCCATTGATAGATAAGTGGGTATGCGAAATATGATTTATGCATACAAGAAAATCTTAGCCATAAAAGGGATGAAAATTCTGATGCATGCTACAACATGGAGGAGCCTTGAAGACATGACACTAAGTAAAATAGGCCAGCCATGAAAAGCCATATACAATATGATTCCACTTGCATGAGGTATTTAGAATAATAACCATAGAAACAGGAAGTAGAATTGTGGCTGCTAGGATCTGAGTGGAGGGGAAAGGAGAGCTATTGTTTAATGGATCTGAAGTTTTAGTTTCACAAGATAAAAAAATTCTGGAGATTTACTGCATAACAATTTTAATATACTTAATACTACTGGACTGTATATTTATAAATAGTAAAAATGAAACATTTTATGTAATTTGTTGTCGCTCCCCCTCTTCGTGGAGGAACGACACAGGACCCTGCGCTGTTCTTTCGTCTGCTCGGCCCTCCCCGGGTTTGCTGCTGGTTCTTCCCGGGTTGGCTACTATCCCTTCCACCTCCGTGGAAGGGCAGTTCCCCCTGGCCACAATCCCCACTTCCGCAGGGGAGCGGCACACCGCCGGCCGGCTTTCTGGGGGGCTGCACAGGTGTTCCTTCAGCTAGATGTTCCCCATAGATGTTCCTGGTGCATGCCGTCTCTCTCCTCCTTTATAGTCCTCCTCCGCCAATCCCAACTCGGCTGCCCACACGCCGAGTACGCTGCTCTCCAATCAGGAGCAAGTCCTACAGTTTATTAGTTGAACTGGAGGCAGCTGCGCGGAAGCTGTTTACTTCTCTCCCAGCGCCATATTGTGGGAGAGCAGATGCATAGAATAAGTCTTAATTCGAGTAACTTAGTCTAGTCCGGATTGCTCCCCACAATTTGTATTTTACAATTAAGAATTTTTAAATTAAAAATATTGCATTATATTTCAATATAATTTATCAAAAATGTGGCAAAAAGACATAATCTGAACAGAAAAATAACCAGGACTGAGATTGCATTGGTGATAAAGAGCACAGCACCCCAACAAAGAAAAGTCCAGGACTTAGTGAATTAATTACTGAATACTACCAAACTTTTAAGGAAAAACTAATCTCATTTATTCTTATACTGCTAAGCTTTAGAATTCACTCGCTAATTTCTACATAAAGGCTTATTAGAATTATGGTGATAATATATTACTTTCATAATACTGAATTTTTCAGTGATAAACATGGTATGCCTCCATTTCCAATGTCTTCTTTACTTTCTATTATAAAAATTTTACATGTTTTATGTGTATATTTTGCACATACCGTGCTAGTTCATTTGTAATATTTTAAGTATTTTTTAATTCTGATAAACATTTTTGAAATTATTTTCCTTTTGTTTACTATTAGTTAACTAAAAAAACTACTATAATTTTTAAAAATTGCATTTTCTTCCCTTTAATAATAGAAAGTATAAACAGTAACTAAAATCATTGAAGAGGTTCATATTAACATGAGACTAAAAAATATTAGAAGCCAAGAAAAACACTGGCTCTTGAAATGTACCAATTAATGTGAAAATTTAATAAAGAAAAACTTTAAAGGGCTTCTCCAGTCCAAATTTTAAGTGGTTTCCATTAGGAAAGCACTTAGGATATTGAACATTCATTAACATCAGTGATCCTGAAGAGAAACAACAGATCAGCTATGCATAAGACTTAGCACAGGGCAGTTAAGAAGGAAGGAAGGAAGGATGGAAGGAAGGAAGGATGGAAGGAAGGAAGGAAGGAAGGAAGGAAGGAAGGAAGGAAGGGAAAAAGGGAACAAGAAAAAAAAATCAACAAACATTCAGGGTAAGTTGATGAGATTGAAGATGAGTAAAAATCAACTATTTCCACTAATTAACATTCTATACATGCTCAAGTCCCCAGTGGAAGGCCCACCAACCTCAAGTACAAACTATAACACTTAATGATTAATTACATGTGGAAACAACAAAGAAAACGGAAATTACAATAAAAGCTCTCAGATGTTTGACTTATGCAATTGAGGAGATAGTCATGACATTTTCTAAGAGAGAAAACAGAAAGATAACCACAAGTTCTGTTTATAAAATGTTGACTTTGCCATGTCTGTGAATGATTGATTTAAGAGAATCTGTAGGCATTTCTGTATTTGAGGTTCTGGACAAAGGTCTGAACATCTCTTTCATTACATCCATATATGTGGTTATGCGTACCATCTCTACTACATATTTCAGCCTGATCAACTATCTATGATCCACATCATGTGTCAAACACGGTTGAACCTTCTGAAGCTGTAACTAACAAACCCCTATCTACCACTTACATTATAAGCGACAAGCAAATTAAAACTACTAAAAGCTTTTAGAACATCATTGCATTTTGACAGAATCCATTAGTTATTCATACTGCTGGTTTTGAGATGGTTTTCAGAATGCTTTGATTTAGAAAGCTGTAATGATAAACCACAAGAGTCACTTTTTCAGTGCATAGTGCTGAGCACCATCCACAAATCAGATTTTTGCTAGTTGCTGCAGATAGGAAGACATAACCACGGCCGGCACCGCGGCTCACTAGGCTAATCCTCCTCCTAGCGGCGCCGGCACACTGGGTTCTAGTCCCGGTCGGGGTGCCGGATTCTGTCCCGGTTGCCCCTCTTCCAGGCCAGCTCTGTGCTATGGCCCAGGAATAAAGTGGAGGATGGCCCAAGTGCTTGGGCCCTGCACCCCATGGGAGACCAGGAGAAGCACCTGGCTCCTGCCTTCGGATCAGCGCGGTGCGCCAGCCGCAGTGCGCCAGCCATGGCAGCCATTGGAGGGTGAACCAACGGCAAAGGAAGACCTTTCTCTCTCTCTCTCTCTCACTATCCACTCTACCTGTCAAAAAAAAAAATAATAAATAATAAAAAAGACAAACACACATGCACGTACACAATTCTGTTCTCTACTATCAATGAACTTTTACAGTCATGATGGAAGCCATGGTATAAACACATGGTCTTTCATACACTACTTCTGTCTTCTATTCCACATCTTTGCATATCACATTCACTCACATTCCTTTCAAAACAAAGGAATGTTACAGAATTGCATCAAGTTGCTTTTCAATTTCACAAGAAAATAAGAACAGTTTTCTAGAAAGGGATCAACGACTTGAGGATCACAAGTGAATCGTTCAGATTTCATGTTTGTTTGTTTAAACTCAAAGGTCCAAAGAACAGCATGCCACGGCGAGGGA